ATTGGGACTAAAATCTGGCTCGAATAGTTTGGCAACCGTCCCTTTCGAGTTTGATACTTACACAGACAAATATGTTTATATGTAAAAAAAATTATAATCGTTCAAACAGTTACATTGATCTTCCAACATTACTAGAACAACAAAGTTACAACAAGATGAGAACGGGCTTGATATTTACAATTCATTACTAGAACAACAAAGTTACAAACAAAATTGACCTAGTGAGCCAATCTAAACTATATTTGTATTTGAACATCAATAAATCGTTTTAAGCAAAATTCATTTATAAAACCTATGCTGATGGATCAGATATTTTTTTAATTATACACAACCCAAGATTTTTTATCTGAACCGAATTTTCCATCTTCCAGGCTGCTATGTGGATACTAGACTATTTATTGGGCCCTAGTTATTGGGCCTAGTTGATTAGATCCAAAAAAGAAATATTAGGACTAGACTACGACTGGAAACTATAAACATTAGGGTTTCGCCATTTCCCTACAGAATGAGATCAGAGCAGATCAGAGCAGCCGCCAAACATCACAGAACGCTGCGCTGCTCCATTTGAATTCATAACATGGTAATCTTCCACTTCGAAAATTCGATTAGATTCGATTCAATTCGCCATTTGTTATTCTACTATCTTTTTTGTTCAATTGTTGTTCCCTTTCATCAAAATTGCTGGGAATTTACCTTTTTTTTTGGTGTGTGTACCTCAGTCGCTCGTAGCAAATGAGGATTTCCAGCACATTCTGCGTGTGCAGAACACGAACGTGGACGGGAAGCAGAAGATCATGTTCGCTCTGACCTCCATCAAGGGTATTGGCCGCCGTTTTGCGAACATCGTCTGCAAGAAGGCCGACGTCGACATGAACAAGAGGTACCTTTCTTGTGTTCGTCGAGTTTGTTCTGTTTTTGCTTATGTTTTACCTGTGATATGCGGAATATATATATATATGTTGAGTTGTCTGTCTGTATGTGTTGAGTTGTATGTGTTGAGTTGATCTGATTGTTAATATTAATTATTTGAAGTCTGTTTGTGTGTGTTGAATTGAGCTGATTGCTAATATTTAATTATTTAAATAAGGCGGTTGTGTGATATTTTGTAATATAGTATGCTCTTCTACCCCATGAACTTGGAATGCTGTTCCTTGTGTTATGTTCCGAACATATTGTGTATGATTGTTTAGCTTAAGCAGGTGATAAACCTTTCTTCTTGTTGGTTTTTGTTGTTTGTCTAAGTAATAATTGTTGGTGTATGAACTTGATTCCTAACTGACAATGTGTATGAAGCATTGAACTTGAGAAGATCACTAGGAATCTGGTTTAATCTTGAATAACCCTTTTATGTATAGCTGACAAAGCCATAAATGTCTTTGGCAGACCTTATTTTATGTTCCAGCTCATTGTAATGCATTGTGTTTGAAATGCCTCTGTGTGCTCGATGGCGTTTCATGTAAATTATAATAGTTAACATTGGATTTTGAATTGGTTAAGACTAAACTGTGATTTAACATTTTCTTCAAGGGTTGTGTAACAACCATTTGTAGCATGTTCACTGCTGGTATGTTGTATGATTATAAATGCTTTTTTTATAATATTTCATCATGTAAGCCAATGTAATATCGACCATGTAAGGTTCAATGGATGATGTGATCTAAGCGTCTTTATCATTCTTTCAACAACCAACTTTGCCCTTAAATTGTTATCTTTGCGGCAATGTTTTTGAAGCAAGTCATCTGAAGTTGGATTGTTTATTTTGCACAGGGCCGGTGAACTCTCAGCTGCAGAAATCGACAGCTTGATGGTGATTGTAGCCAACCCTCGTCAATTCAAAATCCCAGACTGGTTCCTGAACAGAAAGAAGGATTACAAGGATGGGAAGTACTCTCAGGTGACATCCAATGCCCTTGACATGAAGCTTAGGGATGACCTTGAGCGCCTCAAGAAGATCAGGTTAGACTATTTACTTAAAACTTTGTCCTACCTAAATATCTCCCATTTGTACATATTTCGAGAAACTATGGTTGTGTTTAGTAAGCATAATATAAGCTATTTGATTAGCTTATAAGTTTCATGTATTCAAATAAGTTTGGTTTGGTAAGACGAAAAAAAAAGCTCGAGCTTATCTCATAAGCTTAAGCTTCCTTGTGTAGCTTTTCAAATAAACCCATTGAAATTGCTAAATTTGCCAAACAATGTTATCAAATGAGCTAGTTTTTCAGCCATAAATCATAAGATATTAGTTATAAGCTCAAAATTCACGTAAAAGCTATAAGCTAACTTATCCGCTATAAGCTGGCTTATTAGCTTTGTTTATCAAACATAGCCTATATGGTTCATTAGCTTTTATTTAGTTCGAATTACTTGTTATTTATCTTTTGTGGGGGTATTTACAGGAACCACCGTGGTTTGCGTCACTATTGGGGCCTCAGAGTGCGTGGACAGCACACCAAGACTACCGGCCGTAGGGGAAAGACTGTTGGTGTCTCCAAAAAGCGATGAACATTGTTCGTTACTGTTGTTTTATGCGTGATTTTATCTGCTTTTAGGATTCTCATTACTCATTGGACCCAAGTGGTTATATGTTCCACCGAGTTATGTTATCCTTTGTTTTGGGATTTCTGAAGTTTTGTGTTGCGTGTCGATGCTGAGAAATTCGTTAGTGCTTAAGGTTTTGTGTTGTTTTCACTCTGAGAAATGGAGTTTGCATTTGTCCTGCAATCGTTTCACTTGAAATGTAGTTGATACGTTGTTTTGATTAATTCTCAGACTTAGAAAGTGTTGTTATGCCTTTGGTTCTTGATTTAAGTTGAAAGGTATTGGGTGAATTGATTACATTCCTGCCCTTCAATTGTTCTTTTTGCTTAAAGATTCAACATGCGAGCAGATGTTATAGGCCCAGTTTATGTAGTTGGAAGCCCCCACCTTACTGACTTGTGATTTTTATGGTTTGTATCACACAGGCTTTTGGAGCACATAGTTCACATAAGTAGACATGAATAGCTTACGTGGACACAAGTAGGCACGAACGACTTATTATTAGGTACTGTCAAATTGGGCAAGTATGCATGAACAGATTACGAGGGTATGTACTCTCAAATTGGGCATGAAGTTGGGATTTTTGCTTGTTAAATCATACAATGCCCCTACAAGTAGGCATAAGCAGTTTACGTTGTGTTGACACAAGAATACAAGTGGCCATGAGCAACTTATAACATAAGAGTTGGGCATGGGAATACAAGTAGGCATGAGTGGTGTTCAAACAAGAGTTGGGCTGTGTCCCAAAAATGCAAGAATACAAGTTGACACGAGCACTGAACTTTGAGATTTTTAGTGTTGGATCACACGTCACACAATGTTCGCACAAAGTAAGCTTGTGTAGTTTACACAGCAGGTACGTATGTTAAATTGAGATTCTTACTATTAGATCACACAGTGTTCACACAAGTAAGCATGAGTAGCTTACGCAGTGGGCAAGTACGTATCGTCAAATTGAGATAAGTACGTATCGTCAAATTGAGATTTTTACTGTTGGATCACACACAAGCAGGCATGAGTAGGTAGGTAGGTACTCTCAAATCTTGATTTTTACCATTGGATTACACAATTAGGCATGGGTAGGTTCAAATTTTCACTTTTAGATATGATATTGCTACTATACATCCAACCTACATAGATTATTACTTTAAGTTTTCCTTTTAAGTTTTTCACTTTTAGGTTCAAAAATAATTATCTTCATTCAAAGAACTCACACTACTTCGTTAAATCACCATACAATGCTGAACATATGGTTTAATCAGTAATTCGAAACAGACTCATTAATTATATGACCATTGGATTTAAATCATTTCGAGTAATAGTTGATGTGTACAAGCTATTTCAATATCATATAACTAAGTAATTAAGCTCAAAAAACAACTAAACAAGTGACAAAATCACCAACTTGTACGAATTATAAACCATTTTCAATTAAGCAACTCACAAGCTCTTCTTCACTTGTACATAGAAACCACATAACCCTTCAATAGTCAATACTGACAGCGACTTCCCATGTCCCAGAAAAAATAAAATTAGAAAATAAGAAATATAAATATAAAAAATTATTTTATTATTATTATTTCAGACAGCAGTGAAAGCAAGAATTGGTCTGAAAAACAAATTAAAGATTCCCTGATTTGTCTGTGTTTGGACCCTACTTTTCTTTATATAATTGACATAATCTGGGTTTCATATTAATCCGTATATTTGTCTTCACTTCAAGATTCTTTCTTCTTGGCCCCAATCTCAACTTTTCTTTCATCAATACACAGTATAATGTGCAGGCAGTGAAAAAAAAATTTTACAAATGATTGTTCTTTTATTTGTTTTGTCTTTACTAACATTTAATCCCAAATCTTATCTCCAAAATGGGTCGGTAAATTAGTGAACACGTTGTTTTAATTTCAACCTGATTGAACAAGTTAAAGATTGCATTTCTTGGCTTTTTTCTTGTAAGTTATATAACCCCACAGCTTTTTTGTTTTCATTAAAAGGACACTGAAACACTTTCTGTTTAATGATGCAACTATAAGCACTCAAATAAAATAAAACAAAGTAAAATAAAATAAAATAAAAGCATTGATAATCCTTTCAATTTTCTCTTCTCAATGATATTTCAATACTAATAAATTCTTGTACAAAACAGTCTAACTCTAACCTAAAGACGAATTGGCCTGTTATATTTTTTTAACAAAAATACAATAAAAGCAGGTACAAAAGGTTCAGAATTATCCATAGCTTAATTAATTTGCTTCTTATGCTACAAGAGTTAAACTGTGTAAAGGATTTTGCAGTGTAGGGGCAACTATAATTAATTCCAAGAGAGAACAATTAATATGTCTAAGCAATTTATAGTATGTAGCTGGAATCATTTAAGCGGATCGAATTGTAATATTATTATAGCAAAAATGTATATTTATATTATTAAATATCATACTTTTATTTTTATTCATTTTTGTGGAGTACGTATCAATCTAAAAAAGATGCAAATCTATTGAAAAATCGAAGTAAGATTGAACCGAAATTTATATCTCATTTGGGACCGAAATTTGCACACTCCGATCTGGAAAGCGATTACACACACAAAAATAAATAAATAAAATAATAATATATTATACTCGCAGATAGATAAGGGAGGACTGAAAAATATAATCGAAGATAATTAGGGGACCAGCTATTAACATCACCGCCCAGTCCCCACATATTATAAGGTCAAAGAATTAAAATTAATGCCCTTGAAAAAAAAAATAAAGGAAAAATAACAAATAAATCAATTTCACCAATATTTATATATATAGTTGTTGGCAAGCTTCAATAAATTTTATTCAACCAGTAATTAATAATAATTAACTAAAATAGGTGTTCATTTAATAAAAATATGTTCACCATTTAATAAAAATATGTAACTTTCAATTACACAATATATTTTGACAGTTACACAATTTATTTTGACAGGTCCCATTTTGGATGGTGCCTATTTATGTAATGTCTTTTTATGTCATGACATACAAAAAATTTTTATTTTTATTTTGATAGTATATATTTTTTAGTATTATATAAATAAATATTTGATAACTAATTAAGAATGACTACAAATATCTCTATTTTCTATTGCAGTCATACAATAATAAAAATAATTAAAATATTACAAAGATACATCAAATATTGAAAAATGAAATCCCTGAGTCACGACTCACGAGTCGAAGAGATTTAACGATCATGATTTGTTGTGATGGGGATTCTGACGATAGAAAATCCAGGAAAGTTGTAAATAAAGAAGTGTTTAATAATATTTAGATTCACTTTTTTATTTCTCATTTATTAAGTTATGATTTTTATTTTAATCTATATTTTTAATTACTTTCTCTTCTATTCTATCACTTTTAAAACTAGTTTATATATATATAATTGCTACTTGCTAGCTTAGCAATAGAATTTACCTAATAAATAAAACCTATTTCATTTTACCGAGGTGGCACAACCATTTTCCTCCAAAAATCGTTACATTGATTTATTTAACCTTTTATTTAATTATTAATGAATCAACACACTAATCGTTTCAAAAGTAAAAAAATATTTTAACTTTGACGATTACTGACAGGACCGTATAATGTGATTAGATGTTATTTTTCTGATTACATTTAAATTTAACTTTTTTTTAAATAAAAAACCTATTTGAATTTCCTAAATAAATAATAAATAATTCACAAAAAAAAAGTTACATATCAAAATATACATTACATCGACTCCGATAAATGAAATTTATCTACGTGGCACTTTCCTAATACAATAACCGCTACAATTCATTATTATTATTATTATTATTAGTATTATTATTACATTAATCCACTCTATCCCATTAATGATAAAATATTTTCATGCATTTTTTTGGGTCAATTAAGACGTAAATCGTTATATTTTATTTTAATTAAGTAATAAGTATTGTTTTATTGTATCATATAATAGTTATTATTAAAATTAATAATTATATTTTATACTAAATGATATGCAAATTACATAAACATAAAAAGAATATATTGTAAAAACTTTTTATTCAAGTTATTTATTTTAAAATCAACATTATATGTTTTCATCTGATTAAGCGATTGTTTTTTAAATAAATTAATTTGTTATAATGTCATAGAAAAATTTCTTAAAATCGAATAAGCAGGTATTATAACGATTGGTTATGATTCCTCAAAATTACAAAAATTACATTATTTATTACATTGTATGCAATCAATATAGTGCAATCAGATCGTTATGTACTATTTATTTTAACCAAAGGTCGAACGTTAAAACATAATATCATTATCTAGTTTATAATTTTAATATTATATGCATAAATATAATTTATAATACTCTATATTTAAAATATAATACCAATATCTAGCTTATAATTTTAATATTATATATATATAAATAACTTATAATACTTTATTTACAATGTGCAAATAGAATAATAATTTCTATTATTTCTAACGTGCTTCAATCAGCTAAAAACAAACAAAAAATAAAAAATACAAAAACAAAGAATCAAAACGGCGGTTTTTATTTCACACGCCCCGCCGCGCGATCCTGCATTTCCCGGCGGCGGAGAACGATTTTTTCCGGCGACCGTCCTCCGTGATGAGGTTGACGAGCAGGTCGGCGAAGGCCTCGACGATGAACTTGTGCGTGCTCTTGGGGTTGAGCGAGAGGTAGCACGTGAGGAGCTCGTGCAGGTATCCCCAATCCTCACCCACGCCACGCACCTCACGCGCCTCCACCATCTCCTGCATTGACCGCCGGAAGTCCGCGAACGGGTCAGGTGAGTACGTCGGAACGGCGATCCCTCCGCCGGATGGTCCGCCGACGTCGACCTCCGGCGACGACGGCGCCGGCGAGTCGCCGGAGGAGTCGACTATGGAGTTCGACCGGCCGGGGGAGGAGAAGAAGAACCGCCGGGAGGCGGCGGCAGCGGCGAAGTCCGGCGCGGAGGCGCCATACTCGGCGTCGGAGTCGGAGGAGCTGGCGCCGTGGTCGGCGGCGGCGGCGGAGAAGTTTTCGTAGAGGGAGTTGAAGTTTCTTATAAGTGATGAGGAGGATTGGGAAAACGGACGGCTGTGATCGTGAGTTGGGAGGTTGTGATCGGGGGACGGTGGAGATTTGATCTTATTGAAGCAGAAATGGAGATTTCTCGACATTTTTTTTTTCTCAATCCTTTTTTTTTTACATATGAAAAATGTAGAGAGAGAAATTAAAGGAAGAGATTAGTTGAATGGATTTGCGTCACCAATGTTTGGACGAGGGCAAATCTCAACTGTATTTATGTGTGTGAATTGAGAATGTGTGGCCAGGGAACATCTTGTGATTAAAAATTGTTATTTAATTTCCTTATTTATTTTGGAAATATATATTTATAATTAATTATACGAATGATCAACGTGAAATAAAACCAAGAATATGATAACCAAACTTATATCACATTTTATAGAGCAATCTTAAGCTTATATGGTATGACTCGTATAGATAATATTTGGATTCTATGTGTATGTAGAGTAGTAGAAGGCTTCAAATGAGTCGAGCCTTTCACGAGCGCTTGAGTCAAAGATTGACTCAAACTCAAGTCTGATCAAACTTGTGTCGAGCTCGAGTATCTCGAACTTCAGTCGAACTCGAGTTTGTATTCTGTAAGCTCTCGATTATCCGCTCGAGTATATGTGTAACTACCTAAGTACTATTAACTCGAGCTGATTTCAATTATAAATAGAATTATCTTTAAATTCGAGTCCGTCTCGAGCTAATCTCGAGCATTTGAATTATATTGTCGAGTCAAACCTTAATAAGTTGGACTTGTTGAGCTCAAAATCGAGCAACAATTAAAAAGATCGAGCTCGACTCGATAAAGGCATTGATCTGACTCATCTCGATTCTTTTACAGCCTTAATACCAAAATAAAATTTGGCTACAAAATTAATTCAAAATAAAGACAAGTTAAGTATAACGAAATGTCCAAACGAAAAAAAAAAAAGTATAACGAAATGTCCTTAATGTTGGAATTAACTTTAGGCGAAAACCATCGCTTTAATCCAGGAGCTTTCGTATTGAATAATTGAGAATCGAAACTGAATAGCGGAAGCATACCTGAATCCATATGTGATTGATTTGGGGATTTGGCCTTCTAGGTCTATACGATCGTGTGCCTTTCAGAGAACCCTTTAGCTTTTCTCCGTAACCTCTCTGTCGATGGGATGCAGAAGAGTTGTGATGTCGATACGTATGACCTAGGGACCAGAACCCTTTATGTACATTAAATTACATAGAACATCTCTATTTTAGTCCATCATTAAAATAGAAAAAACCCATTAGTTTCTACACATTAAAGGCCTACACCCTAATGATACTTTAAAGCCCAATAATTTTAAAACTTAATTGATCACTTTTATTTGGGCTTCTTTATTTGACAACCACAATACAATAATTATTTCATATATCAGCTCAATGTTGGATTAAGGATCCAACATAATACATTAGTCATACATATGTGAAACATACAATTTTCTTTAGCTTATTTCTTCCTTTTTTTTCTTTAAATAATAAATAAAAGGGAAAAAAAATAAACTAAATTTAGATAAACCAAGCATGTGTTGCGACCAAGAGGAAAGCTGGAGGTAGTATAGGAGAGATGGTGTAGTTTTTGTAGATTAGCAGTTTTGTATTTTAGATGGAAAGGCGACTTAACGAGGGTAACACTCAACACTCACCAGGTGTGGGCCTTTTGCTCTCATATGATTGGCCCAAAATATATTTTCATTTGCCAACTAGCCCAAAAATACTATCAATTATTATTAATTAACATTAAATTATTTTTATATTATATTAATGTTAATTGGTATATTTATATTTTATGTTTATTTATAATCTAAATGTAATTTAATCCTCCTAAAAAATATGTCCCCTTAATTTATTTTTTCCTATTACTTTTTTTTTTCTTCTAAAAAATAATTCATCTTCAATCCCAATCTAGTGACAATTATATATCAATACTCCACTCACATGATATGATATATAATTGAAATCCAACATGACAATATCTATGCACATGATGTTATAGAATACAAGATGCTCTTCAAAATTTGGGATGCAAAATCTTTCTCACTCAACACTATAGGTTGTTTTTATTAACGTTTGAATCACATATCAACAAACCTAAATAATTGATTACATATAGTATGGTCTCTACGCTACATTTAATTTGCTACAAATTGATTTGTGATGCAATATTATTTATGTATCCTATGTAGATAAATGTACCTTTGTTAAAATATTATAATATTCCCCGTATTCATATAATTTTCTGAGTTCATTCTTTTTGTTAGCTGCTTCACACAATGATTTTAATTTATGCCATTTAATTTAATTTCCACCTAAAACACAGGCTCATAGGATTGTAATTAAGGTAGTTTATCGATGCACAGCTCATAATTATTAAAGAATATGACAATGTTACTATAAACAAGTTAAATAATACATTTTTGTTGGAAAAATATAATGAGTTCGCGTTTATAATCCTCATGTTATTCGCACCAATTTTGTAATAAACATACACCAATAATTTAAATCATATCTTATTTTATGCCACTTATCTTTAACTTCACCCGTGTAGTTATTTTTCACTCCAAATCAAATGCAACTTACTTTTGAAACACAAAATCGAGATAAAAGAGAATAGATATTGGCAAAAGGAAATAAAATAAAATCAGATGAAAGGGGTCACTCAAGAAAGCTAATTAAGCTTAAAAAAGAATGCCGTAACTAAATGACTCTGGTATTATATTATTATATCAAGTCATGAATTCAACATGGTGGGGATGTTCCATCCATTCACCTATCT